GTGAGCATCGCGTGTCGTCTGCTCGATCCGTCGACACGTGACCTGAGGTAACGTGTCGACGGCTCGCGCGAATACATACATTTCCTCTTGAGCGTGTGTTACGTAACGAACACGTGGAAGAAGATATGTCTCTCTCCCTCTCCCTCTCCCTCTCCCTCTCTCTCTATCGCTCTCCCTGTTGCTCCCCGCTCCCGTCTTGCCGGAGGGAACGGGATTACGAGAGTCTATTTTAATACGTTTTAAACAACGCTCGACACCGAGACTCCAGAGGCGAAGTAAACAATACTGGCTGCACGACGGTACGTCAGCTTTAATTTAACGTGTTTATCGGCGACTTCGTACGCCGTGCAATTATCGCGTCCGCGAATTTGCGTAACCGAGCAGGATCGTTGACAACGGCGCGCAGTTGCGCGTGGAATGGGGCCGGTGTCTCCTGGAATCGGGAAAGGCTACGCGAATCGTGGAACACGGACGGCGAAAGCGCCGATAGACGGATCGAGTGGGCGGTTTCGACTGATAAACAATGCAGGAGAGAAAGAGGGATGGAGACGGGGAGCGAAGGGAGTAGGGACTGAGAGGCAGGCTTAAGAAATAACGGGGTGCGTGATGCAACTTGTCGGTGCACGGCGACGTAGAAATGCTCGCGCAATTCGCGCCAGCCTAGCGCCTTCTGTTCCCGTGCTGCCTGCGCGGCCTCCCCGCCACGTGACTCCTACACGTGCACACCGGAGCGGTGTCTTACGCGAGACCGTTCACCTTCGTTGCATAATACTCACGCGAAAAGGTCATCGCGAACAACGGAGCCAGATATTTCCTAATATGATTGATAAACCGGCCGATCACGGTGATCGGTGGAACTCCAACCCGTCTCACGACGTTGCACCTTCGGGGGAACCGGCGCTGATTACCGAGGTTTCTTCTGTATTTTGCAACCCCGTTTCGCGGAACGACGATCGTCGAGATAATAGCCTTCGAACGGGGTCTTGGTGCCAATGATTGTCGAAACCGTCGTGTTTTTTAGAGGACAATTGAAAGATACACGTGCCGCGTATGTAAACGCGTCTTATCCTCGATAACAGTCCTTCCTCGGGGACCGCCCGTAAGCAATTATCGAGGCAAATGTTCGCGAAATTTTAGAACGTCTGTTCCATGTTCTTTCGTTTAAGAACAATTTCAAGTTCATTTCGCACGATTGAAAGTCGTTGAATGAGACGAAAGGGAAACGATTAGATGATTCTCGTTACCTGATCCGGCAGCGGCCAGAGATTCCAGATTCCGGTTATCGTTGATCGTGAACGACGCGTATGAAAACCTTCTTGAAACGACTCCCGTGATCGATGAACTAACGATGACGTAACGCGCGATCCTAGGCAATATCTACGACCATTGGCGGCGCGATAGGATCGAACGTTATCTGTTGAGGCCACTGAATAGGAGAAGAAGATTGGTCGGCTGGTTGTGCAGCTACTGCACTCGGCCGGCCGTATGCACGCGAATATAACAGCCCGCGTCACGCGTTTCCGTGGAACGTAGATACCGCTAATCCCGACCGATGTCACGCCGAACAATCGCGAGATCGAGATAACCGGCGCACAATGCGAAATCCACCGGCTTCTCTCTCCCTTATGCCCCCCTCGAGCTGACCTCATCGATATCTTTCCATATTCTATCGTCGCAATACGTTCCTGTTTCACCAGGACCGTTCCCGTTTCGCTCTCGACATCTCGGATCATCGCAATGACTTCTCCATGCATCGGAGCTCAACCTCCTGCACCTCGGAGATATTTAAAAAACCGCTTCGATCCTCTTTCGACACGATTCGTCCGCAAAGCACCGTGTACGCGTGTCCCCTAACAATGATCCAGTGTCCAAGTGTTTAGATATGCGATAGCCTCTCACTCGGATAAAAGAATTGCATCATACGGTGCAACAAAGTACACCGAAGTGTCCTATCATCTTCAAGCTGCTAGGCTCGTCCCAGTTTCACGAGGCTCGTGCAAAGCTGTTTCACAATCAACCGGCTATCTATCTCTATTTCGGCGATAGAACGCCGGCCAAGGGTCAAACGTCCTTTCCCTCGAAAAAGGGAACAAAACTAACGTCCCGATCGGAGACAGACGCGGTCGGCTTTGATCCGACCCTCCCTCGCTCGTGACCGCCTTTTAACAGGCCGCGTCTCGACCGCGAAGCCCGAGAGAAAGAGCGAGGGAGAGAGAGAAAGAGAGAGAGAGAGAGAGAGAGAACGCGCGTCTTGGTGCACGTGCGTGCCCTTCGTTTCGAGTCCGTGAAGCTTATTGCACACACGGTTTACGCTACGACGAGGCTGAGAGTTCTGCAAATTAGGCCGTGGCCCACTTCTGAGACACGATAGAGGAGAAGGCGACTCTGCGGCGCGGCGGAGGTGGAGAGTGGGATCGATCGCGGATGCCGAAGTATTAAAGCGCGCGACCGTAAGGGGGGAGAGGGGAGTTCCCGTTTCGAGCGACGATCGCGATCGATCGCGTTTCGCTCGGACGCCGGACCACGTGGCCGACAAGGGCCCGACGCGCAGCCCGAACTTTCATCCGTTTCCCCCTACCAAACGCGAACCGCGAATTACTACTGAGGTCGAAGGAAGCGACTGAACAACCACTTCAAGATGGCTGCCACTCTTCGGCTCGAGTGCCACTGATTCGTGAATGAAACGCGCGACATGTAATTTCATTCAGATTTTCAGATTTAGTGTCCTTACTTGGATGAATCTGGATGTAGTAGATAATCGCGTGTATCTTCAACTTGTTTATCTATTGTCTTTGATCTTCCGTAAGATCTCCACAAGGCTGTCAATCATTGTTTTAATAGAAGCAATTGGTGAATCAAGTGTTCACTGTCGAATGTACATTATTGCAATTCGCTAATTGCATAAGTCTGCAATACACAATCGAAAGCAGAACAATGTTGAAAACAAACGATCCCAGGCTACAGCCGCCATTTGTCCATAACCTCGCATAAAGAACGCCGCCTCCATTTTCGATTTCTAAGTAACAAATGTCGTCCGCTGAAGATTCTTTTGCACTGCGTTTTATCGTCAAATGTTTTCCCTGATCGCGACAAGGCATCGTCTGGCACATTGTGCGCTCGGCGAAGATAAAGATCAGAGTCCTCTTCGCTTCGTCACGAGTGACGCAACGAGTGCTGCCGCGTTGCTCACGCGTTGCACGAGACTTTCGTAAGAGTAGTTTGCGTGTGTGTGTTTGTGTGTGTGGCTCCGCTGCAATGCGCACCCGAAAATAACGACCATGGTTTTCCAATCCATTAAACTCGCGACAACAATTTTCCTTGATCGCGCGGATCGGCCCTGAGATCGGCAATTTCGAGCGCATCGATAACAAGCGATAACGATCAACGTCGGCGAGAAACAATGGTCCCGGCGAGTTTATTGCGCTCTCGGCGGGGATTCGCCGTCGCAAGACGTCTCGTTGCGTCATCCGAATCTGCTCACCAAGGTCAGAGTCCGCCGACTGGTTTTCAGGGTCGTCTTTGAACACGCCGAACGGAATCGGGAGGATTGGCGTCGATCGATATTACGGCGCGGATTATGAATTTCGTAACACTGAGGAGGAGGTCCGGTTCTAAGAAACGGCTCGTCATTGGTTCCACGGAATAGGCTAGCTAGAATCCGTCCGGACATCGGTAAGGGAAAATTTTCGGTAGGAATAAATGACTAATGCTTCGAGACTTCAAAATCGTTAAGATACACATCCACGAAAATTGCACATTAAAGTTAGGGATATCGGTAAGCTGGTAGATGAAAATCATCGTTAGTTTCTTAGAAGACAAGCAACCGGTCGTGATTCGGAACTAACGAAATTTCAAACCTCGGACTGAGATACCGTCTATCTAGACGATAGCGATTCAATACCGATTTTTCAGTATACAAGGTTCAAGGAACTTCTCGGATAGAGATAGGAATAATACTAGAAGATCGTGATCTATCCGATCATCGTCTAATATCGGTGGTCGGTAGCGAAATGAATTCTTGAATGCGATACCATCGATTTCTGCGGGAGAGTTAAACCGGTGATGGAGATTGGCGAACGATCGATCAAACCGTCTAGACGGTGCAAAATTCACGATCGCTATTACGACGATCGTTGGAGCTTCCAGTGTGCGAGGATCCGCGAATCCTCTCTTCCAAGAAGAATCGGAATTGCTGTTAATGGCAGCAATGAAATCGGCGCACAGGTTTCACGGGAACGGTACCGATTACCCCGAACGAATCACCGGAGCTCTGGCTCGAGGCACGTAGCGTCCCGGACTTGAAACACGATCGCGGAGTTTTCGGTTCAAAGTCCCGGCGCGTGACGAGTCGCTAGTAGATAACGGTCTATTCAACAAACGATTCCGAGACCTTGGGCGTTCCTTTCCGTCCGATAAACACAACGATCGCAATCGGGACAAGATCTACGAGCACCCCGTCCGGACATGTGAATTTTTCGTGCGCGGTCACGTGCTGTCCGCGAGACCGCCGTACCCCCGACAGATCTTGATGAAATTCGATGGAGCTCGAGTGTCATTCATGGATGCGATACAGCGAAAGGCAACACAAACTCTGATAAAAATTCACTCGATATTCTATTTTAATACCCACGTCCCTGACGATTCCAAGATTAAACGGTTGAACAAGTATTCTTCCCCGTTGCATAATTAAAAGACACTCGACTAACCGTTAGAGAATCCCGAAGCGCAGAATTTAATCAAGCTCGATCCACCTTTGTTTTATTTCGATTACAACCGATCACTCGTTTCCAGATCCTCGAATCTGTTTACGAAAACGACGGTCCACTTCATAATTGAATTAAACGGATTCACGGTGTCCGTTTCATGAAAGAATTCGCGGATTCGTGAAGCGATCTCGTAGACAGCACGTGATCGGTTAAGGGTTGCGAAGGAGAACGAGCGATCCACCCGAGTATCCTAGCGCGAAAGAAACCAACGAGAGCATTTCCGTGACTACTCACCAATTTTGAAAGATTCTCTCGAGCAGGGTCGACCGACGGAACAAAGATCCACTTTGGCTGGTCGAGGGGTGGTTGCGTAGACGTTGGGAGACGGTGCGTCGCACGCGTCGCCTGGCGAACGATCAAACGTTTACGGTAGTTCTGTCCCGCTGGACAACGGTGCGGTGGGTGTAGCACTGGCCGAAGGCAGGGCGCCTCGGGTATCCCGTTCGTCGAACCAAACGCGCGACGAAAGTAGAGTCACCAACGGCGAAGAGAACAGGTTGAACCCCGTGCTCCCTCTTGCTCGGGTAAATCCAGTGAGATACGCACGCCGGTAGAAAAGTCACACAAATACCGAAATATACCAGTCGCGGGAACGAAGAGACGAATCTCGTGAAATCCGAACGAAACGGGGATTCAGCGAGAAACGTCGATCGAAATTCGAACAGTCCGAATCTCAGTCAATGATCCACGCAGGAGACGCGGAGGATCCTGCTTACGGTGAATCAACTTCTGTAGGTACGCACACGAAGAGCAAAACCGATGCGATCACTCGAAAATAAAGTTTCCTCTTCCTTCGGAGATACTCGCGAAATCCAACCGAGTGGTCCTCCCGAAAACCGACGAACTCGAGGATCCCGCTCGAAAACCCGTAGGCGAAAAAGCAGGTGACAGTGATGTAGCCCGACCAACGAACGGCGGAGAGTCAGTCCGCTGGTGCGTCGTGTGTCAGTGGCCAATATGATAGAGCAAGAAACAAGGTGCGCGGGCTGAGAGAGACGTTACACGTCCGCTCTGTACGGTGTCGGCCTGCAAACTGACTGCACGCCAACCGAGACTCGCGACTGCCGTCTTGGCCCCAATGTCGCGTCTGGGCTTCGAGTTTGATGCGAGAAGGCTGACGCGCTCGGTCACGTGTATCCCCGTCTCTCTTTCTCCCGCGGCGGCTCTCCCTCCCGAGCGTCGCGCTCGTGTGTGCGTGCACGCGGCTCGTCTCACCGTGCCTCGATCGTGGTGGTGGAGCGGTAATTTCGGTGGTGGGGGCAGGAGAGGACGGGTCCACCCGCCGGGGGAAGTTTATGCCTGGTTTACGCTCGGTTTATGTGCACTCCCCACCCTGACGGCTGTCCCCTGCGTCACAGCGCCGACTCTTCCCCTACGCCGCCCCCACCGCGGCGGCGGCCCCTCCCCTACGCGTACGCCCCCACCAGCCGGTACAGTTGCAACGCGTCAGAGGCACGCAGTGTGTACGCGCGATTAGATTGCGTCGCGCGGCGACGCTGAGCGCATCGTGTGCGTTACTTCAGAGGATAATGCACCTTTTTTCCTTTCTCCCTTCTCTCCTCCTTTCGCTGTTCTCTTCCTTTTCCTTCGGTTCCTTCGGTGACGGCGCGACGGTCTCTTGTTTTCGCTGGATCGGCGCACGAGCTTCTCGGATTCGAGATTTTTGTTTGCATTTTTCTTAGGATCAGCTGGGCTTTCGTCCTTTGTGTTTTATCTGCGGCGTTGTTGAGTTTGGGGTTCTTTCTTACGGGAATGGGGTGAAATCGATGGTGGAGGTACGATCGTTTGGAAATAAGTTCGAACAATAGACGTTTCGAGTCGTTCGCTTTAGAGCGGATCGGCGAAGGCGTGTCTGAACGATTAGATAATTTTATTTGTTTGTGTAGCCGTTGCTCTTTGCTCCCGCTATTTTTGTCAGAAATTAGGTAATAGTCGCTTTCACTGGTCGACGGTTTTACCGTTCGGTGCATAACAAAGTGATCCCATGACATTTATCCACGAATTTCTGTATCATTCGGTTCACGCGAGTCAAAGTGAAACATTACTCCCACGGTCGCCGATATTTCACCTGTACGATCGATGTGCACGCACGACGAATGTACAGGGTGTTCCGTGAGTCGTGTCTCGAGCGGCGTTCGGACTGGCTCAACATCTAATTGATCAACGTGTATAAACAATCCTCGTGTGGATCGGTAGAAAAAGAAAGTAATACAAAATCGTACGCTCGTACGGCTCCCCGGTTGGACAGGCCCGGAAGTCGGGGAACGCCGAGGATCCTTTCGATTTCATCGATAGAACTCGTTCTCCTTTTTTTTCTCCTCGTTGATGGGGAATCGGTGGTTCTTTTTGCTCGCGGGGCGTGAGATTCTCTCGAACGATCCAGCTACAGGATTTTTATGGATGGGATAAATGTTAAGATGATAGGGCCGCGAGATATTGGATAGATTGAATCGTTTTTTTCGGTTGGCGAAAAACAAAGAGCGCGCGTAGCTAGCGCCACTTGGACGAGTCTGGTCGCAAGGACCCTCTTTTCTCTCTCTCTTTCCTTCTCTCTCCCTTTCTCGCTCGTTCGTTTGCTCGCTCGCTCGCTCGCTCGCTCCCGACCCTCTTTCTCTCCATCTCCGTCCTCTATAAACCGAATGCCAGACAACGAGGGCATCAGCCCCCATGAATCACCGTCGGTCACCTTCACTTTTTATGCAAGTTTGGTCTCGCCCGGCCTCGCCGGTTGAACGAATCCTCGTGCGCGCCCGCCCCGGGACGATCGATACGGAAATTTGCGTTACGCCGTAATCGCTGGGCCGCTCGTTTACCCGGTAATTAAATATGGATCTGGGACGCGCCACCGTCTTCCGGACAATTTCATTCAGGAGCATTAGACCGGTCGAAGTGCCGTGGAATCTATGACTTCCGTTTTTCTTCCTGCAATTGTGCTCGTATTTTTGGAACCGGCTCACCTATTCGTCTATCTTGAATTTAGAGCAAGTCGCGCATCGATCTGTGGCTAATGTCACCGATTTTGTATAATTATGGCAGACCCGGTTCCATTCAACGCGTAGAACAAACAATCTCGCCGAAATACGAACAATACTTTTTCCTTCGAAAATAGAACCGCATTCTGTTGAAATCGGTAATTCTTAAATTCCGCTCCACGTTGGCGACACGTTGCAGCTTACAAACAAACACAGGAACGAACTTTCGCCGGAACTGCCAAAAAACCGAAGAAGCTCCGCCGCTGAAACGGCCGAAATTTCAGTCTATAATCGACCAACGACTGAACGTCCGCCGCGCGTGAATCGCGTATGAATATTCCCCGGCGCGCGCGGCCGTCTCGTTTTTCTCCGTGGAAAAGGCAATCGTAAATTCTCGTCGGATCGATCCGTCGCGGGCGGGGGGACGCGTGGCAGCGGCGAGAAGGGATTAATTCGCGATCAAAATAATAATAAATCCCGTCCGACTGATAAATCACGCGTAGCGAGCGTGCGCGGCGTGCCGCGTCTCGCCTTTTTAGCCGCGATTCGGCAATCCGATTTGCATAGATCGCATATGCATAATGATCGAGCCACGACGCGCTCTTATGGCGGGCGAATTTGGAATTTCAAGGACGCGCGTCGGGACGTGCACTGCCTGGGGAGCGCGGTGCGCCTGTTCCTCTGCCCCGTTGCAGTTTCCGTCGCCGCCATTTTTCCCTGGGAGCGGCGACCGTGTCCCTACCCGTTCGATAAAAATAAAATCCGCGGCGATCGATTGGATCGACGCCAGTTTCCACCGGGTACGCACGCGAGTGTACACGCGGAATACGATCGGGGCTAATTAACGAAATTCTTTTGTCAACGAAGAGGCGTCCCGTCCTCGTCTCTGTTTTCCTCTTTCCCTCTCTCCCTCGCGCGGTCGCCTCTCTTTTGTTTTCAGCCGGGCTCGTCCGTGATTTTAAATGCGATTCGTTTTCTCGGTCGACCGACGGTGACTCACCGTCGTTGCATGAATTTGTTTAAACCGACGGTGTTCGTTTGTTCACTCCGACGTACGGATCGAGAACGGCGTAATAATAAGGTTCACAGATCGCCGGAATGCGCAATACACTATTTCTAAACGGAACCGCGGCGGAGGCCTCGCGCGCTCGGTTGTTCGGGTGTACGCAGTTGCCTTGGACCACGCGACACCCGCGTGAGGATCTCCACGCGGCCGAAACTAGTTCAAGTTCGAGCGACCGCCGGCAAAGGGGCGGCGAGGTTCGCCGCCTCGGATTATACCGATCGATCCCGCAACGATCCGGGGGAATGGGTCCAACTATCGCGGCCGGGAGAAATGTACTTAATTAGCCATCGATCAGCCGCTTTTAGAATGGTTGGGAATGGTATTATAGGAAGGAAAATTGACGCGTACATCGGTATATAGGAGATTGTTTACGGATTTAACAGCGTGATCCGAATTGCGTTTGATATTGTTATTTTTCGGCTACCGTTATTTTCGTGGATCGCGCATGTTTACACGTAAACGCCAATTTTATCCTGTTCAGGCGAAACAGATTATTGCTATTAATGATTCGCGCGAAATACATCGGGGCGCGGTTCGCGATTTTCCTGATAACATGGAAATGAACTCTCCGTCGCCGAACCGATGTAAAACAGTATAGAGCAACGGTAAACATTGTTAAGGGATTATTCACAGGAAAACAAACATTGGAGTTGCCGAGCGGTAACGGATTGCTCGTTAGTACGCTCGATAGTTTCGCGCGTAAGAAAAAATGAACGTTATCCCGCGGATCGAATACATTATTATTTAATTATGACCGGCCGATTGCGAGCGAGCGAGCGAGCGTGTGTTCTCGGCGTTAGCCGCTTAGAACGTTGCCCTGTGTGCGTGCACATAAATGTACGCGGCGCACCGGTACCAGCGGAATTGTAATGCAGACGCTCCATCTATTCGCACGCGCAATCCGGATTACACCTGCATCGTCACTATTACTTGAACAGTTACACTTTCTCCGCTCGAGCATCTCGCCGCGGAGAAAGAGCTCTCGCCGCGCGCCGGGGGAGGAAAATGATTGTTCAGCGAGCTGATTATTCGAAACGCCGCGGTCGGCTCGCGAGCGCGTTAACGAGCCGCGCGATTCGATCGGGACACCCAGGACAGAAAAGCGTTATTAGATAATAATATATTTTCGCTTGCCGGAGACCAGGTACACCCGTAACACCGGCTGTCTCCCCGTTGTCCGTTACGAAACGCCGCGTAGAAACCGATCGATCCAATTATCATTTATTAATCATTCCGCGGCTGAATCGGAGCGGATCGGGACCACGAGTGTCGGAGTAGAGGCGCACTCGCGGCCAATTTCCCACGTTCAAATTCAATGGTGTAGAAAGCCGATTTCTGACGCCGGATCGGCAATCTGTCTGGGAAACTTCGTTGCCAGGCGAATTTCGGATTTCTCCGTGAAATCTTTGATCGTTAGGCTTCGATTTGTACGTTGGCATTTGAATGTAAGTTTGAACTTTGAATTTAACCGGTAGGTTTCGAGAATCTTAACCGTTTATACCAAAATTAGGCCTATCTCTTCGAAATCGAAGGAGTTAAGACTCGAATTCGAATTTTAGTCTGTCCTTCAAGGATTCAATTTTGAAAGTCAATCGTTCATGCAACAAAAGGATTCTCTATGCCCAAACGCTATAGGGTAAAATCGCAAATGGATAATCTAAGATTCGCGATCCGATTTCTTAAACGTTTCAGTGCTACGGTTTTCGTTTCAATCCACAGAGTTACGCTTTTCTATTCCTACACAAAAAAATTCTAATGGAACGTTTCCTTTGTTCATTTCCAAGCTGGTAACAACAGAAATGAAAATCAGTAATTAGAAGGAAAGTAAATAAATAATTCAGTTTGATTCTACGAACCGTCACTTTTAGGCAGTGTAACGAAGAACCCCGATCGCTTGTCATTGAAACGGTTAAGGATCCAGGCGTAGAACATTTTCCCAGGTTTCCGTGATAAATTAGTGACCGATCGAATGGCGCAGGCTGACCGTGGCGGACACGTAAGACGAGGGCGAGCGCTCGCGCGCCCGAGAAACCGGTCGTGCACCAGGATTTCGAAACGTCGAAGAAAGCCTGGGGTTTTAATCGAG